CGATCTGTCGGAGCTTCTTCCGATTCATGGCGGCGATTGCGAGGAGAATCCGCAGTGAGGTATGTCGGCTTACTGGGGCGAATGTTTCCGTGAAGTCTTGCCCTTGCTCTTGGTTGAAGCCTCGCACGACCCAGCGTGCTTTGAACTTGTTGATTGTTCCGTCAGCTTTTGTTTTCACGCGGAAAACCCATTTTCCCGTGAGGAAAGTTTTGTTGCGTGCTACTCCGATAGGCACGACTTTCCAGGTGTTGCGTTCCTGCAGCGCCTTCAGTTCCTTGTCCATGGCTTCACGCCATTTTTCCCTGTGTTCCCCCCCCAGAGCCTGCTGAATTGTCGCAGGCTCTTTAGGTGGTTCTGCTCCTTGGATGGCGGTGACGAGTCCCAGTATCCGCAGGCCACTCTGTGTGGCGGGGGAGATTTGTGTCCTCTGGATAAGCTGCTTCGTCTCCTGCTTCGGGGTCTGGTAAGAAATTTGGTCCTATGCGTTCGGAGATGTTGGTGTTGACTGGTTGAGGGGTAACGTAACCGGTGTCGGCGAAGTCGAAATAAGTTTCGGCGTTGACACTTTCGCGAGGATTTTCGTCGTCCATCAGGATAGGCACGGAGCAGTATGGGAGTGGTCCTGCTTCTTCGGATGCGTTGTCCACGTTTTGTTCGTCCCACTCAGCTTTGTCTGCTGCTGAAGCGAAGGCTCGGTTGCCACGGAAGCCGCCCGTGAGGTCTCGATTTGCTGCCAGGTTGTCCAGGTACGTTTGAAGTGTGATTCGCTCGTAGAAGATGACATCACGTGCTGCCACTGTTTCCTTCGAGTGGACGTAAAAAAATTCCATGCGTTGTAATGTTTTTCGATGCCCAGGTGTAGTCCCCACTGTGCGCGTTGAGAAAATCTTCCGGCTCTTGCAGTGTGTGGGCGATACTGTACCATGCACCCGAAGAATCGTAACATTTTTGTGTTGCCCAACTTTCCTGTCCAAAGGAGGTGCGGTGATGCGTTGTTAGGAAGTGACGACGACGAAAGCAAGTTGTGCAGCATGACAGCGTGGTCCATCGCCTCAGGCCACTGGTGATTGGGCAGTCGCATGCTACGCAGCAATTTGCGCATGGTGTTCTGGAGAGTTCTGTTCATCCGTTCTGCCACGCCTTGCTGTTGATGGGGGTAGGGAAGTGAGATGAGTCGCTTGATGCCTCATGTTGCGAGGTACTGCCTGAACCTCTGGGACTGATATTCCCCTCCTCCGTCAGACTGGAAGCTTTTCAGCTTTGCGCTCGATTCTCGTTCTGCCACAGGTAGCCAGGCGACGAAGGCTTCGAAGGCCATGTCGCGACTTGGAAGATTAAGGTGCCAGACGTAACGGGTGGCGGCGTTGATGAAAGTGATTACGTAATTATATGCGCCTTGTCCTTGTTCGCGAGTATACATAATGTCGCTGTATACTTTCTCGAGTGGTGCATAAGCTGGCGCGCTTGGATTGTGGTGAGAGGCGAACGGTTGATGTGGTAAGTCGGCTTCGGGACAGGTAAAGCATGCTCTGCGGACTCGTTGGAGTTCTCTGCCGTCGGGTAGAAGTAGTGAGTCTTTGTCGAGCACTGCTGCCTTGATTGTGTTGTTTAACGTGGTGTTGCTTGGATGACCTAGTCGTTCGTGCGACAGGGACTCACTTGCACGATGTCCGGGTGAGCGCCTATACAGGTCGGAGTTGGAGTAAAAGCCCGCGGTTAAATTGGCGCTTCTATGAACTTCACGTGGAGTGGGAGCTAGCTGCTGCGCAGGAGTCGGTGGAGTGTCGTCGATGAGTGTTGGTGCCGTCGAAGAGTTCACGAGTGGTGTTGTAAGTGTTGTTGGTGTTGCCGATGTTGTCTCTGCTGCTGTCGATGTTGTCTCTTCTTGTCGGATTGTTGCTAATGCCCGTGTTCTTTCTTCTTCAGGTATGGTATGTGAATACCAGAACCCTCCAGGGCTGAAGTCGGGGTCGAGGTCCGGTGGGTGCGTCCAAGAGGTGAAGTTGACGATGGCATCGCTGTCGGCGGTTCCTTGGTCTGGTACAATGTCGAGGACGAAGACATTATTTTTCAAGACCGCTCTGCCGATGTAGAGTCCTCCTCTACCGTGGAAAAGCTTGAACTCCTGTGTGGTGCTGTCTGCTTCAAGATGGATCCCCTTCGCCATCAGTTGGCTGACGCTCAGTAAGTTGTAGCCAAGTCCTTCTGCAATCAGTACTTTGGACATTTGTAGGATGACGTTGGTTTCTCGGGATTGAAGTTGTACTACGCCTTGTCGTCGTGTGTGCAGGTTCTGGTTGTTGGCCACGGTGATGACGACTTCGCGTTGAAGTTGGTGTTCTTGTTGAACGAAGTGACTTGAAGAACACATGTGTTGTCCGCAGCAACTGTCCAAGAACCAGGTGTCTTGCCCGGACGGCTCGCTTTGGGCGATAGCTGCATATGTTGGATTGGGCTCCAGTGATTCGCGGCGGGGAGTCCTTTCATCGAGTTGGTCTTCTGGTGAGTAGTAGGGTGGTGATCCGGTGATGCAGGAGTCCGTTGTTTTTGTCATGCAGCTGACGATGTTTCTTGTTCCTTGTGCAGATTGCGATGTTGAAGATGTTGAAGACTGCACTTGACTGGTGGGATGCGCCTCCGTAGAAGTTACTTGACTGCTTGAAGGCCGAAGTTGACGTTGCGGTGTTGTCGGCTGCTGCTGATTCGGGCAGTGTGTACGCGGATGACCGGACGTCTTGCAAAGGTGACAAAACGGTGGGACGTATTGTTGTACTTGTCGGTTATTGTGTCGGTTGTTGTTGTTGTTGTAGCGTCGTTGAGTGTGGAAGGCGAACTCCGGTGCTAATGCTTTCTTCTTGTGTCGTTCTTCGTGCAGGTCCATGTCTTGCTGTTCAGCGTGGTTTTTGGCGTAGAGTGCTGCTTCGGAGATCTTCCCGTGAGCTCGAAGAAGTGCTCTTATGGAGCGCCAATGAGGACCAAGACCGGCGATGATGACTGTTACAAATGCTTCTTTCGAAATTGATCCTCCGCATCGAAGGAGTCTCTCGCGCAGTCCGCGACAACGGCTAATATAAGCCATTCCCTTTTTGCCAGTTTTCATTTCCACTGTTGTCAGCTGTGCCATGAGACGGCTCTGGTTAACGCTGTCTGTTGCTTGATACAGGTTCTTCAAATGGTCGTAAGCCAGTTCGGCGGAGTTGCCATATCCTCGATAAGAATGAATATTTTGTTGCTCGTTTGGCATCAAGTTTCGAAGAAGTATCGTATACGCCATCAGCGACTGATACGTGTATTGCTGCTTGTCGTACTGTGTCCCGTGTGCTGGATATGGCAGGGACCCGTCGAAGAATCCGAGGATTTGCGCACCTTCCATCATCAGCTCAAATTCAAAAGACCAAGTATAAAAATCCTTCCCGTCGAAAAGCGTTGATGTTTGCAATTTGAGAATGTGTGCGAATTGCGATTGCACCTGAAGCGCGTCCAGTGTCTTCTCTTGTCCAGATGAAGGCTGCGGCTGCGGCGCGAAACTGACGGAGCCGCGTTGAGGCTCATACGGAGCCAAGGTAGGTTGTTGTTGATTTCCGCGCGCATACGATGAACCATCAAGACTCATCGGTGTTGCTCTGTTGTTGTTGTCGCTGTTGTTTGATTGCGCAGGAGCTGCTTGCTGGTGTTGCTCGTAGAAGGACAAGAAGGAGAAAAACTTCTCCATCGTGTTTGGGTCGAAGCCTGCTTGCTGATTCCCGGGAGTTTCCGTTGACCCTGCAGCTGGTCTTGTGCCTTGTTCTGTCTGTAGGCCAGAGACTGGAGGTGGAGTAGGGGTAGTGCCGAGAGATCCGTTGGAGGAGCTCCTCTCCTTTTGTGTAGCCATGACTTGTGTTGTAAAAGGTTGAAAGAAGTGATCTTGTCCTGCCTTGCTCTCATACCATGTTGGGCTGAGAAAAACCCTTGGGAACTTTCAGGACTTGAGATCGGGTGTTGACGTAGAGATGTAATAGCGGAAGCGTTTAATGAAGAGTTGTCGTGAACCACCTTGTGCTAGTGTGTGAGAACAAGATAAGTTGAATAACAGCAAAGAGATACAGACCTTTTATATGATTACAAGGAATATGAAAAGTCCTACTTTAACTGTTTTGCTGTTGCAGTTCGATACAGTGCCGACTCGGGTCACTGCTCTATAACGAGTCAGTTATGTGTCCTTGCTGTCGCACTGTACGTTTCGTCAGGTCAAAGGTCGGAGACCTTTGACCTTCGCGCAACCTCCGACGGTTGCCTTAGTTGACTCGAGTGCTTCTTCGCTGTAGTCAGTTCCGTTTTGTGTCGAAGCTTCGATACGACAGAAGCGTTATAAATCACTTGTTTCCAACAATATGTTCCAACATATCCTGCATAACAAAATTACAAGCCTTATTGACAAACAACCAGAATCGTACTACGGTACATTTATCCTCGCTGCAATCTGACATGCTATCATACTCTCGCACGCCTTCGCCTTTGACGCTTTCGTCGCGTGACTTCCAGTGTGCCCAAGGGATTATGGTATTTCATAGACATTCTTGTCACTCTAGGCAAACTTAAGCAAGAATGCAGGTCAAGTATCTTAATAATTAAATACAATAGACAGGCTAGGGGCATCAGCCTAACCGGTTTCACTTGTACTGTATATATAATACACGCTGTCCTCTCCACGTGTCTAAAGCAGTGTCCTGTAATCTGTTCTACATGAACAAGGTGGACATCTCAAGTAAAGACCAACAACTGAGGCATTCAGCTTCTTGCCATAGCCATCAGTCTCTGACGGCTGGGCGGAAGCAGCAGGCAAAGGAGGCAGCCCCACGGTGCTTCAGCAGCTGCTCCTCCGGTTCCTGCCAGCAGTGCAAGGTGGCATGTGACACAATCAAATCGTGAGTGAATGGAACATGTGGAACGAACACAAAGAGAGGCAGAGTGGATGCCTACATGACATTCATGAGGCATGGTACTCTTTACGTGATGTGAACTTATGAATGTCGTGATCTCATCTGCTTATGACTCCACCCACACACCTCCCTTTCTCTTACCGAGTCATCATCATCATCCTCATCAGTCCGCCTCGTCTCGTGCTCCCGTCTGCCACCGTGCTTTCGCTTCCCCCCTGCGTCAGCAGCTCCTGCCGTGTTCCCTTCCTCACGGGGCAGGTGCAGGGAGGGCATGCACTGTGGCTGCTGCAAGCACTGCGGCCGAAAGTCCTCACTCTCTTCCCACTCGCCCTGCCGGTTCTTCACCCGCAGCCCCTGCAACACCTCCCCCTCCTCTTCCTTGCCACCCTCTTCCCAATCCCCAATCCTTTCCATACCAGGAACCGACTCCTCTGCACCTCTCAACCCATCCAAACCGCCACTTCTGCCAGCAGCAGAACTCTTTCCTGCTGTGCCCACTGCACCTGTCCTCAGGCCTTCACGGGTCGCTGGGGCGAGCTGAGAAGCTTCCCCTGCAGCTGGGGCAGCAGCACCGCCGATGGACACAGCAGGCCGCAGCCGAGCCCGAGCGATCCCAGCAGCAGCGGCAGAGGTGGGGAGGAATGCAGGAGGGCGAGAGGAGGAGAGGGTAGGGCGGGAGGTGTTAGAGGAGCGGGAGAACTGCATGAGAGCGTCTCTGCGACGCCGCCTCAGAAGAAATTCGTCCACTGGTGGCACTGCCAGTGCTGCTGCTACTGGCGCTGCTGCTGGTGGTGATTCTGGTAATGCTGCTGGTGGTGCTGGTGGTGCTGCTGGTGCTGCTGCTGGTGCTGCTGGTGCTGCTGCTGGTGCTGCTGGTGCTGCTGCTGGTGCTGCTGGTGCTGCTGGTGCTGCTGCTGGTGCTGCTGGTGCTGCTCCTGGTGCTGCTGGTGCTGCTGCTGCTTTTGCTGCTGGTGCTGCAAGCAGTGGATCACGTGTAGCAGAGGATTGCACCTCGGGCACTTCTTGTTGCTGTGGCTGCTGCGGTGCCATATGCCGTTGTTGCTGCTCGTGCCGGGGCTGCTCTTGCTCTGCTGCTCGCCTCTGTGCCCTGTTCTCCGCTGCTGCTGCTGCTGCTTGCTGGCGCGAAGGCAGAGCTGCTGCTGAGTGTTGCTGCGGTGGATCGGACACAGAAGCAGACACAGGGGCAGCAGATGAGGCAAAAGGAGGTGGGGATAGCGCAGCAGGGGGATGATTGGGAAGAGTGACAGCAGCAACAGCAGTAGCAGCAGCAGCCGCCGCAGCACCAGCAGCCATTGCAGCAGACACAGAGGGAGCACTGCCACTCCCCTTGAGCATGACCCCTCCACCTGCACTCTCTGACCCTTCCACCACTTCAACCCGTTCCTCCTCTGCCTCCCCTTGCCCCTCTCCCATCTGCAACTCCTCTTCTGCTCTCCTCGCATCGCTGTTTCCCTTCACCTCCTCCTCCTCCTCCCGAGGCTCATCCTCATTCTTCTCCTCCCCCTCTGCTCTCCCCAACGCCATCCCACCATCCACTCCGCCCAACGCATCCCCTGCCACCACGTCATCCTCCCTCAACCCAACCCGAGCACTCTCAAACTCATCCTCGTGCTCCACCCCTCTCGGATCACCGCTGCTCGTCTCCCTCACCCCCACACCTTCCACTCCTTCCTCCGCCACATCTTCTGTCCCCCCAGTGCGTCTGCTGGCACTCCCACCGGCGCCTCGTGCAAAGAGACCAAACAGGCTCCTTCCAGGCAGCTTCCACTTGGCGTCTTCTCCAGAAGCAGCTGCTGCGGTTGCAGCAGAGTGAGGAGGAGCAGCATCAGCAGCAGAGAGGTTGCAGGGAGAGGGTTCAGATGCTGTGGGGTCACAGGATGGGGCGTCAGGGTTCAGGATGGGAACAACAGCAGCGACCACGGCTGGAACTGCTGCTGGAATAACCCTCTCCTGCGGTATGCTTTGCTTCTGCTCCTCCTCTTCTGTCTCTTTCTCTTCCCTCTCCCCCTCCGCCTGTCGCTGCTCCTGCTGCACGGGCTGCGAGTGACCAGCAGCAGGCCGTTCAGCCACCACAAACTTATCCTCGCTTTCCTCCACCTCCTCTGCCGCCATCCTCCCTCCCCCTACTTGCTGGCCCACGTCCTGCTGCTGCTGCTGCCCATCCCTGCCAGCATCCTGGCCAATATCCCTGCTGGTATTCCTGCCCTCTGCTTCTTCTCTTCCTAATCCGCCTCCAGTCTCTTCTCCACTGTCTGCCAGACTGCGAGCGCCAGCAGCACTGGCAGAGGCGAAGGAAGGGCGAGCGGGCTGCAGGGAGAGGGAGCGGAGAGCGGAGCGAGGAGTGAGAGTGTGGAAGCCGCTTCGCTGTGCTGTTGCATGCAGGTCAGCACGGGGAGAGGGCGAGCGCAGGCTAGCACGGGGGGAAGGAGAGCGCAGACTGCCACGGGGAGACGGCAAGTACAGGCCAGCACGGGGAGACGGCGACTGCAGGGTGTGAAGAGGCGTGTGAAAGCCGTCGCTGCTGCCCGGGCTGCTGAAGAATCGTTGGTCAGAGCGCATAGAGGCAGCAGACGGGGACTGGGCACGCGGGGTGAAGTATTCACGAGCAGAGTAGAGTGCTTCCGAGGCTGCAGAGGCAGGGGACTCGGGGGGAGAGAGGTGCGGCGTGGAGAGGGTCGGGGGGAACGGGGAGGGGAAGAAGGAGCGGGAGGTGAGGGAGAGGCGGGAGGGGGAGGGGGCGGAGGAGAGGGAGTAGGCGGGGGAGGGGGGAAAGGTGGGCGGGGTTTGGTAGCCGGCAATGGTGCTGGCTGTGTCATCAAAAGAGGAGGCGGAGTTATCGAAAGCGGAGGCAGTGCTGAGGAAAGAGGTGGTGCTTCGAAAGGAGGCGGAGCGCAGGGAGGAGGCGGAGGTGAAGCGATCCATGTGGGCGTCAAGGTATGCAGAGGAGGTGTCAGAGGCACCGTCATCCACCACATCCTCTATGTTCACTATGCCGCCCACACTGTCACTGCTGGCCATGCCGCCCATGCCGCCCGTGCCGCCCGTGCCAATCATGCCTCCCATGCTGTCAACACCGCCTCTATCCCCCTCGGTGTATTCCCCATCCGTGAGGCCTTCAACGGCGCCACAATCCCCGTCAACACCCACTCTGCTCTCACCACTGCCAGTCGCCCGCACGCCTTCACCGCTCCCAGTGCTCCCAGTGCTGTCAGCATCGCCTGCACTGGCAGAGCCCTCCTCAAATTGACTGCATGCTGCCACCCCGGCTGCCGCTGCTACCACTGCTGCTGCGGCTGCTGCTGTAGGTGGAGGTGATGCAGTTGATAGGGGTGGTGAGTTGGAGGAGGCATGCGGGAGAGTATCGTGAGTAAGAGGCAGGGGGGGCTCAGCAGGGGAGGAAAGTGCAGGGAATGAGGCGGAGGCAGCAACAGGTGGGGAGAAAGTGACAGGCGCACAACTGTCGCTGGCACTGGCGGCAGCAGCAGCAGGAGCGGCGGCAGCAACAGCAGCGAGGGAGGATGTCTGAGGAGGCAAGGAGGGCGGCTGGCTGTGCAGGCTGGGGAGGTGCTGCTGCTGCCCCCTTGCCTCCTCCCCCTCCTCGCTCTCATCCTCTTCCTCTCCCTTTCCTAACTCTCCACGCCCCTCTGACCCCCCTGATTCCCCTGATGCACCCCGTGCATCCGCGAATTCCTCGCTCCCACTGCCCTCCTTCTCCCCCCTCTCTCTCGCCGCCACTGCTACATCCGCAGCACAAGCAGCCAAGGCAGTTACGGCAGGCCCTGCGCCTGCCTGCACCGTAACTGCTTCTGATGACTCCGCCTTGTCCCCCGCACACCCCTCCTCCTCCCCACTCTCCTCCTCCTCGCTCTCCTCCTCTTCCTCTTCTTCCGTTTCCTCTTCCTCCTCATCTTCTTCGTCGTCCTCCTCGTCCTCATCCTCTTCCCCAACATAGCTATCATCGTCCTCTCCCTCCTCCTCCGAATCATCCTCCCCCTCATCATCAGCATCCGCCCCCAAATCCACCTCCCCCACACCCACCTCCCCAGCATCCACCTCCACCACGCTCCCCTCCTTACTGCTATCTCGCACCACAGTCACGCGCCACACCCCATCCGACCCTTTCCCTTTCAGTTTGAAGGCTTCCTTAAGAACTGCCTCAATATCCCGCTGTAGCTGACCCACGTCCAGCTCCTCTCCTTCCAAATCAACTATCATGTCATCCTCCACGTCATCTTCCACGTCATCTTCCACGTCACCGGAGCATCCTGCCTCAGACACGCACTCCCCTACTTCACCTCCAACCTCCCTCCCTTCCTCACCCTCTCTCCCTTCCTCACCCTCTCCGCCTTCCTCATCCTCTCGCCCTTCGCCCTCCTCCTCTTCCTCCTCCACAGCATCCCCACCCTCTCCCTTCTCACTCCCCACCGCCATCCCCTCCACCTTTGCACTCCGCTCCTCCTCATCTCTGCTTGCTTCCCCTTGCACCATTACCCCCACTCCCCCTCCTCTTCCCCTCCCCTCCCCTTCATTCCTCCCCTCTTCTTCCTCATCATCACTCCCACTCAGCACATCCTCCGACACCTCCAGCACTTTCCTCGAATCTTCCTGCAAGGGTACTATAGCAGCTTCAGTGGTTGAATTATCGTCTTCGTCACGCCATCCCTGCCTCGCCTCACCTTCCTCCTGCCTCCCATCCCTCGCCTCCTCTCCTGCCCGCCTCCCTGCCTCCTCAGCCGTCCCCCTTTCTGACTGATTCTCCGGAACCTCCTCTCTTACTGCCTCAGTCTCTGCCTCTTCCTCTGTCTCTTTCCCTGCCTCTGCCCCTGCCTCTCCCTCTCCCTCTGCCTCTATCTCACTTTCTGTCTCTGCCTCTGCATTTGCCTCTCCCTCATCCTCTGTCTCTCCCTCATCCTCTGTCTCTCCCTCTCCCCCTCCCTCTCCCTCTCCCTCTCCATCTCCCTCGGCCTCTGTCTCTGTGTCTGCGTCTGCCTCCGCATCTGCCTTTGTTGCACCCTCTGCGTGCCCCTCGTCTACTTGTGTGCTCCTGGGTTTGCTGATCTGCTCCGGCTCATGCTCTCTCCATTCAGCTTCACGCTCTGTGTGCACTGCAGCAGCCATCTCTCCCCCACTCTCACTCCAACCCTCGCCCCCAGTCTCTCTTCCACTCTCATACTCACTCCCAACGTCTCTCTCCCCTTCACTCTCATACTTACTTGCAGCCCCCTCACCCTCACTCACAAACTCACCCTCCTCGCTATCATATCTACTCTCAACCCCCTCACCCTCACTCACAACCTCCTCGTTTTCCTCACTCTCATATTTACTCTCAACCCCCTCACCCTCACTCACAACCTCCCCGTTTTCTTCACTCTCGTATTTACTCTCAACCCCCTCACCCTCACTCACAACCTCTCCGTTTTCCTCACTCTCATATTTACTCTCAATCCCCTCACCCTCACTCACAACCTCCCTGTCTTCTTCACTCTCGTATTTACTCTCAACCCCCTTACCCTCACTCACAACCTCCCCGTTTTCTTCACTCTCATATTTACTCTCAACCCCCTCACCCTCACTCACAACCTCCCCGTTTTCCTCACTCTCATATTTACTCTCAACCCCCTCACCCTCACTCACAACCTCCCCGTTTTCCTCACTCTCGTATTTACTCTCAGCCCCCTCACCTGCACCCACAAAATTTCCCCCTCTTTCACTCTCATATCTTCTCTCAACTCCCCCATCCTCACTCCCAACCTCTTCATCACCCTCTCGCTCATCCTCACTCACACCCTCACTTGCAACCTCACTCACACACTCACTCGAAGCCTCCCCCTCACCGTCACTCTCACGCTCACTCTCCGCTTCACTCGCACCCTCACAGCGTGCATGGGAGTCCAGTGGCAGCACCCCCTGAAACACAGCACTGCCAGCCGCAGCCCCACTATCACCTGCACTCTCTCTCTCCTCACCCTCTGCGCCTGCACTCCTCACATCATCCACGCTACCGCTTGCAACACCTGCATCACCAGTAGGGGCAGCAGCAGCCGCAGCAGCGGCAAAACAAGCAGCAGTGGCAGCAGCAGCAACACCGGCGGCGGCAGCAGCAGCAGCAGCAGGTGAAGCAGGGGAAGAAGGGCTTTCGGCCGGGGCAGCAATAGCATTAATATGACTGCCAGCAACGTCAGCCTGGGAGCTGGGAGCTTCAGAGGCGGGCGCTTCGTAATCGGGAGCTTCAGAGGCGAGAGCTTCGGAGGATGGAGGTTTGGAGGTAAGAGGTTCGGAGGCAGGAGGTTCAGACGTGGGAGCTTCGGAGGCGGGAGCTTCGGAGGCGGGAGCTTCGGAGGCGGGAGCTTCGGAGGCGGGAGCTTCGGAGGCGGGAGCAGGAGTGGGGGGGTGAGCGGAGCCCCAGGAGGGGCGCCAGGCCATGGCGAGCAGCGAGGACCACCCCCACTGCTGCTGCTTCTCACGCCCTGATGCCAACGGAGGCTCTGTGGGGGGAGGCGCTGAGGGGGGAGGCTCTGTGGGGGGAGGCTCTGTGGGGGGAGGCGCTGTGGGGGGAGGCTCTGTGGGGGGAGGCTCTGTGGGGGGAGGCTCTGTGTGGGGAGGCTCATTGAGGGGAGGCTCATTGAGGGGAGGCTCATTGAGGGGAGGATCATTGAGGGGAGGATCTGAGGGGGAAGTCTCTGTGGGAGAAGGTTCTACGGGAGAGGTAGCCGTGGGGGAGGCTGTGACCGGTGAAGGCGTGTGAGAGGTGGTGTGGCAAGGTGCAGCAGGGGCCGGCGTGGTGGTGGTGGTGGCGAGGGGCAGCGGTGCTGACTGCTTCTGGCGCTTGGCTGCCACTGGTGGGGTGATTGGGGGGATTGGGGGAGGGGCGAGGCGCGAAGCGCGAGGGGGGAGGGGCGAGAGGGGAGGGGAGAGGGGCAAAGGGAGAGAGGAGAGGGGAGGGATGAACACAAGTGCAGGGCATTGGTGCAAATGCACACAGCAGCATAGGCAATAGCAAGATGCAAGTTGGGCCAGAGGCACTCACAATTGGCTTCAAACATGGACGCCAGACCCTTCACTCGTCCATCCCGCACCCCGCCCGCCGCTGCTGCTGCAGCAGCAGGAGCGGGGGACATAGCACGAGGGGAGAGGTCATCGGGGCTAGCGTGGACAGGGATAGGGGCCGCCACAAAGGCTGTAGAGCCCCTCGGCTCGTGCCCTTGCTCCCCTCTGTTGCCCTCCTTCCATTCATCCTCCTCTTCCTCCTCTCCCTCTCCTCCCTCCTCTCCCTCCTCTACACCCTCTCCCTTCTCAACATCCTCTCCCTCCTCTCCCTCGTCTCCCTCCTCACTCTCTTTCTCCTCTTCCACTTCACCGGAGCACACTGCCAGCAGGCCCAATCCAGCCACTGCAGGGGTACCAGCGCCGATGGCGTCATCAGAGGGAGGATGCACAAGAGAACCATCTGCCACGTCGGCAACACCTGCCACGTCACACCCATCTGCCGCTGCTCTCGCCTGTCCCATGCCTGACATCTTCTCCCCATCCGAAGCAGAAGGAGCGGTACCTATGGCAGAAGCAGTGGTGGCAGCAGCAGGGATGGCAGCAGCAGGGATGGCAGCAGCAGCGGTGGCAGCAAGAGCAGAGGAGGCAGAGAGTGCAAAGCGGTGACGGTGAGGGGAGAGGGAGCGAGGCATGCCACGGGGTTGCTGAGGGGAGAGGGGAGGGGAGGGTGAGAGAGCAGACATTTTCTTGGGGGATAGGGGAGGGGAGAACGAAAGAGCAGAGAGCTGCTGTGGTGAGAGAGGTGGGGAGTCCATTCTCCGTGCTGCCTGCTGCTGCTGCTGCTTTTTTAGGTCCGGAGACATAGGAGCGGAGGAGAAGAGCGCAAGATACTGCTTGGAACGGAGCGGAGAGAGGGGGCGAGGGGAGAGAGGGAGGGGAGGAGGGGCTTTGGGGCGGAAGAGAGGCACGCGGGGAGCTGAATCCACAGAGACAGCTGGTGTCGTGCTGCTCGCAACACCTGCACCATCACTTGCACCACCGCTGCTGCTGCTGCTGCAGTTGCTGCTACCTTGGGTGATGGTGGTGCTGAAAGTAAGCTCAGCCTCCTCACTGCCACCGGATTCACAGCCCATCCCCGTGCCGCTGCCACCCACGCTGCCACCCACGCTGCCATCACCCTCTGCACCGCTCTCTGCGGCAGCTGCACCTGCAGTGGCAATGCTTAGCCTGGGCGACAGCCTGGGCGATGTTGCTGAGGGTGTGGGTGCTACCACGCCTGGCTCCACGAGGAGAGAAGGAGCCTCCAAGGAGGCTGCAACTGCGAGTGGTGTCACTGGCGCCGCTGTTACCGTGCTTGCAGCGTCTGTTACCGTGCCAGGCAAGCTGCTCCCTCTCTCGTCCTCGCTCTCCACACTCCTCTCACTCCCATCCACTAGCCCGTCTGCCCTTTCAGGTTGGTCTGCCCCAGTCTTCTCCTCCCTACCCTCCACTTCCGCCCTAACCTCCGCTTCCTTCCTACCCTCCACTTCCTCCCTACCCTCCGCATACCTCCGAAAATCCCCTTCCTCCCTACCCTCCACTCCTTCCCGCCTGCTCCCTGCATTCACGACCAGCGCCCCATCTGCTTGCTCCGCCCTGCTGCCACTACTGCTGCGTGCACCAGCGGTGGTCCCGGCAGCCATGATGCCGCCCACACCAGCCACTGCAGCAGCACATGCCGCCACTGCTGCTCCCGCTGCCACCGTGCCGCCACCAACCGCAATAGCAGGGGCAGCAGTTGCGCCAGGTGCAAGAGGGGCAGCGAGCAGTGCTTCATCTTCCCCTGTGTCAGCTCTTTCTCCTGTGTCTGCTGCACAAACCAATGCTGCCCCTGCCCCTGCCCCTGCCACCGAGCCGTCAGCAGCTGTTGCGGCGGCAATAGGCACGACTTCCTCTCCCCCGCTTCCACCTCTCCCCTCTGCTGTGCCTGCAGGCTCACAGGCGGGCACAGCAGCCAACAGAAGGCTGGCAGCAGGGTCAAAGGAGTCAACGGAGTCAACAGGACCAGCAAGGTCAATGGAGTAAACCGGGCCAGCAGGGTGAATAGGGAAATCATCACTGGTGCCACTGCTTTCCGCTGCTGCTGCTGCTGCTGCTGCTGCTGCTGCTGCTGCTGCTGCTGCTGCTGCTGCTGTTGCTGATCGTCCATCTTCAGATGATTCATTCTCAGGTGATTCATCTCTAGCCGTTTTGTCAGGGAAGAAGAACATCGGGGGTGATTCCGTCATGCTAATACTGCTGCTGCCGCTGCCACTGCTGCCGCCAGCTCCGCTAGTGAGGGCAGCTTGATTGTCAGGCTGAGCAGGCGAGGGGGGAGAGAAAGGCAGAGGCAGAGGCGGAGGGGTAGGAGGGAGAGCCATGGACGCTGGCTGCTGAGGTTCCAGCACAGGGAGCGGCGGGAGTATAGGCCGACGCTCAGCCAAGGAAATCCCGCCTGAAGATTCATCTGAGGCTTCACCTGGTGCATTTTCAGAATCATTTGCAGGTTGTAAAGATGGCGGAGAGTCTAGTACGAGAAGAGGTGGGTGGACGGTGAAAGAATGTGCAGCAGAGGAGGCAGCAGCAGCAGCAGCAGCAGGGGGGGGAGGGTAGGTAGCGGTCGGAGAGAAAGGATGGGAGTGAGAAGGTCTGGGAGGGAGGAGGAGCGGAGGAGAGTGAGGGAGAGCAGGGAGGGGAGGAGGACGGAGAGAAGGTGGAGCGGGTGCGAGGGGAGGCGGAGGGGGAGAGGATGGGGAAGGCGCGGGGGGAGTAGGAGGTACCTTCTGAGGCAGCTGCTACCACTGTGAGGGGACGGAGGGCGCGGGGGCGGGAAGAGGGGGAGGGCATTGGGGGGGAAGGGGGGCGCCGGCGAGATAGAGTGCGAAGGTTGGAGGGGCGGGAGGAGGGAGAGGGGGAGTGTGGGGGGTGAGGAAAGGAGGGGGAAGAGGGGCGGGGGAGGGAAGGGGAAGAGGGGCGGGAACGGGGGCTGGAGGGAGGGAAAGGGCGGGGCAGGGATGGGGGTTTGGAGGAAGGAGAGGGGGGAAAGGGGGAGTGGCGGGGGGATGGGGCGGGACAGGAGGCAGAGGAGGGAAACGCAGGGCGGGGAGGCGAGGAGGGACGGACAGGGAGAGAAGGAATGGAAAGGGGAGCGGCTGAGAGAACGGGGTGTGACATGGCAGAGGCGAGAGATGGCTGCTGGTGAGGCGGGTCAGACGGTAATGTCATGGCAGGCAGGGGAGACAAGGAAAGGGCAGCAGAAGGGGTAGAGGATGGGGCAACGGAAGGGGCAGAGGAAGGAGCAGACGTGGCAGCTGCTTCTGGTACTGCTGTTGTTGATGGTACCAAAACTGCCAGTGATTCTTCTACTGCCAGTTCTTCTGTTGCCGCTGCTGTCGCAGGCACTGCTGCTGCAGAAGCAGATGGCTCTGGGTGGGCGGAGAAAGGCAGTGCGGCGGGCACGGGGTGCGGCGAGGGTGAGGGAGAGGGCGAGGTGGAGCAGGAGGAGGGCGAGGAGAGAGCGGCGATGACAGGTGGGTCCCCTGCTCTCTCGCGCTCCTCCATGTGGCGGTCGAAGATAGACGCCAGGGAGGCCAGGGCGGTGCCGGTGTGCGTTGGCAGGGGTGATGGTGATGCTGCTGCTTATTGCACCACATGCACGCACATACACATGCATAGATACACCGATCACACATGCACAGACATACGCACACACACACACACACACACACACACACACGCACACACGCACACACGCACACACGCACACACACACACACGCACACACGCACACACACACACACACACGCACACACACACACACGTACACACACACACACACGTACACACACACACACGCACACACACACACACCCATGCCCCAACACACACACACGCACACACACACCCATGCCCCAACACACACAAACGCACACAAATGCAAAGATGCACACAAACACACACATACACACAGAAAACACACATGCACGCGCACATGCACGCATGCACATGGAGGGAGGGACAAAATTATCAGAAGCAGATTGCAGGAGAAGTGGAAGGAAGGAGGCAAGTCGAAGAGGAAGTGATGGAGGAAATGCAAGGACAGGAGGATGCGAGGTGAAGGGCGATGAGGGAAGAGGGCAGGCGTTGCTCACGTTGTGAGGTGACTGGATTTGAAGCTCCTGAGGCACCTTCAGCCTGTAGCGGGGGCGAGGAGGGGCAGGGAGAGACAGGACGGACGATGGGACGGGTGTGGCATGCGGTAGAAGAAATAGTGGCAACGAGATTGGGCTGGACAGTTGCAAGGAACAAAAAATTATCGGGGAGGGTGGTGGAGGGAGGGTGGTAGGGGAGGATAGTGATAGAGAAGGAGCTTACCCCAAAGAGCATGGAGTGCACCGAGTCTTCAATCAGACAGTCCACTCGCTCTCCGCCCTGCCCCGCTTGCTCTGCCTCCTGCTTCCCCCCTTCCCCTCCCTCCCGCAGTGCCGCTCGTGCTTGCGACTCCGCAGCTGCAGCATCCTGGCCCTGGGCTTCGACACCGCTGGGGGTGGCATCACACTCAGGCCCATCAAGCGCGTCATGATCGAGAGCAGCAGAGTCAACAGAGTCAGCAGAGTCAGCGGACCAGAAATCCACAGTGGGAGGGGAGGAATCACCGAGGGTGCCTGCTACCGCTGCAGAGACTCTCCCCCATCCGATGCTGCTGCTGGTGATGCTCGCCCCACTTGCTTCAGTTGCCCCGCCAGCAGCAGAAGAAGCTGGTGTTGCCACGAGTGCAACGCTGGCAGCAGCAAACCCAAACGTGGGCGAATCAGGAGTGAATGTGGGAGAGTCCGTGCTTGTCCCATTCATGCTTGCAGCAGCGGCAGCCACAGTGGGGGTGGGAATGGCAGGGGTATTGCTGGTGAGTCCAAAGGTGGGGGAGTCGGGGATGGAAGTGGGGGACCCAGCTTCGCTGACGCGAGGAGAGCCAGAGGTGGGGGGATGGGGGGAGGTGGGGGTGGGGGAACGAGGGGAGGTGGAGTTGGGGGAACGAGGGGAGGAGGGGATGGGGGAACGAGGGGAGGCAGAGTCAGGGTGATTGGGTGAGTTGGCATCTGGAAGGAGCGAGGAGGAGGTGGTGGCAGGAGAAGCAGTACTGAACTGGGTAAAAGCGAGGGACAGGGATGGGGATGCAACACTGGGCAATGTGGCGTCTGCGTTACAGAGTGACTCCGTTTGAGAAGCAGCATCAGTGCTCAAGGGGGGAGAGACGGCTGCGCAGGAAGAGGGTCGGGTGGCAGAGTCTCGCTGCACACCCCCTCCGCATTCACCCTCTCCCTCCTGTTCCACCCAGCCCTCGTCCCCTCCATGGGCGCCCTCGTCCCCTCCATGGGCGCCCTCGTCCCCTCCATGGGCGCCCTCGTCCCCTCCATGGGCGCCCTCGTCCCCTCCATGGGCGCCCTCGTCCCCTCCATGGGCGCCCTCGTTACACACACCACCACGACCCTCCGTTGCACTTGCACTCGCCTCCTCGTCACTTGCCAACTTCTCCTCCTCACTCACGCCCCTCTCTTCTTCCCCTCCCTCCTCTTCACTCTCCCTTCTCGCTCCCTCCTCTTCACTCTCCCCCTTCTCTCCATCCTGATCACTCTCCCTTCTCTCCCTTCCTTCATCCCTCACGTCAACAGGAGCAGGAGGATGGCACGAAGAGGGGATGCTGGAATCAGCAACTCCAATGGTGGGAGAATCAGGAACAAATTCTGGGGAGTCGGCAGCACAAGGCGAACCACTCCATACCTCCTCTCCAACTTGCTTCTCACACACTTCCTCCTCTCCCACTTCCTTCTCACCCGCTCCCTCCTCTCTCAATCCATTCTCACTCCCTTTTTCCGCCCCCAGCACTTCTCCCCCACTCTTACCGTCTTGTACCACTTGCCACCTCGCACTCCCTCTTGCCTCTTCTGCCACTTGCTTCTCACTCTCTCCCTCCTCCCGCCTGTCCCATACGCCAGCATCCCTCCCTGCCTCTCCACCGCTTGAGCCCTCCTTGTGAAGCTCCACTTCCTTCTCCTCACTCTCTTCCCCACCTTCACCATCCTTCCCCTCCTCCTCTTCTCTCGCTTTACTCCCCCGCTCCCTTCCCACTTCCCCGTCCCCTTCACTCTCCCTCCCCTTGCTCTCCTCTTCCCTCCCCTCTCCCTCCTCTTCCCTCACTTCATTCTCCTCCCCGCCCACTCCCACCCCACCCTCCTTCCCCCTCGCCCCACCTTCTCCTTCCTCCCTCCCCGTTTTCCTCCTCTCCCTTTCTCCCTCATCCCCATCCTCTCCACTCTCCTGCCTTTCTCTTCCTTCCGCCTCATTACTCCCCGGCTCCTCTCGTCCTTCTCCTGCCTCCTCTGCCCCCATCTCCTTCCCATCCCTCTCCCGCAAACTCGTTTCATCTCCAACTTGATACACCCTTCCCACATCCTCCACCACACCACCCAGAGTACGGTCAGCAGCACTCATGCTCGCCTGTACACCAGGCAGTGCACCGGCAACCACCATGCTCTCCCTCACACCACCCACGGTACCATCAGCACCCGGTTTCGCCTCCATAGCACTCGGTGTGGTCACATCAACGACCAGCCTCTCCTCCTCACCACCCATACTGCCGCCCAAATCCAAGCTCACAGCACCTGGCTTGTCTTCAAGGTCATTCCGTTGCTCCTCATCACTCCCGTGCTTTGCTCTCCCAGCCACGTGTGCCCCAGCAGCGCCACCCTCCGCCCTGCCTCCCATGTGCGAGCGCAGGAACGTGACGAACTGCAGCTTCCTCGCTGCCCGCTGCATGCGCTGCCGCGCGTTCGGACTCACACCACTCTTGGGCGTGGTGGGGGGACTGAGGGGGGTGTGGGGCGTGTGGGGGGCGTGGGGGATGTGGGGCCTGGCCAGAATGGGAAGAACAGAGGCAGCAGCTGCAGCAGTGGAAGCAGCAGCTGCGGCAGCCACAGCGGCAGCAGCAGCAGCAGGCGATAATGGTTTTGCGGTTGTATGCCCCTCCACCCCCACCTCTCTGCCTGGCACCCCCACCCCATCATGCCTCTCTATCTCCCCACCCTCCCGGTCCACGCCCAGCCCAGCAAGCTCCCCCTCCTCAAACATGTCCTGCACTGCCTCCCTCTCTTCGTTACTCCCCACTGCCTCCCTCTCTTCGTTACTCCCCACTGCCTCCCTCTCTTCGTTACTCCCCACTGCCTCCCTCTCTTCGTTACTCCCCACTGCCTCCCTCTCTTCGTTACTCCCCACTGCCTCCCTCTCTTCGTTACTCCCCACTGCCTCCCTCTCTTCGTTACTCCCCACTGCCTCCCTCTCTTCGTTACTCCCCACTGCCTCCCTCTCTTCGTTACTCCCCACTGCCTCCCTCTCTTCGTTACTCCCCACTGCCTCCCTCTCTTCGTTACTCCCCACTGCCTCCCTCTCTTCGTTACTCCCCACTGCCTCCCTCTCTTCATTACTCCCCACTGCCTCCCTCTCTTCATTACTCCCCACTGCCTCCCTCTCTTCATTACTCCCCACTACCGCCCTCAGCCCCTCATTCCTTCCTGGCTCCCTCTCCCCCTCCCTCTTTACTGCCCCGCTCCCTTCCTCCACGCCCAGCCCAGCAAGCTCGCCCTCCACAAACATATCCTGCACTGCCGGCTTCCCTCCATCACCCGCCACTGCTGCCCCCACTCCCTCATTCTCCACTTTCCCCCTCCCTTCCTCCATGCCTAGAGCAACCAACTCCCCGGCCACAAACATGTCCTGCACTGCCGCCCTCTCCTCATCACTCCCCACGGCCGCCCTCACTCTATCGCCATCCACTGCCGCCCCCACTCCCTCACTCTTCACTTTCACAACTCTTTCCTCCTCCACGCCCAGGGCAACCACATCCCCCTCCACAAACATGTCCTGCTTCTCTCCTCGCACACTCTCCGCTTGCATTTTCACTCCCTCATGCTGCACTGCCCGTTCCTCTCCCTCCCTTTCCACTGTCCTACTCCCTTCCTCCACCCCCAGATCAGAAAGCTCCCCCCCCACAAACATGTCCTGCCCTGGCCCCCTTACTGGATTCCCCTCCACTGCCGTACCCTCTCGCTGATTCTTTACTGCCCGCTTGTCTTCCTCTCTCTCTACCGCCCAGCTTTCTACTGCCACGCCCAGGGAAATCAATTCTTCCGCCACAAACATGTCCTGTACTGCTGCGCTCCCTTCATCACTCCCCACGACCACCCTCACTCTATCACTCTTCCCTACTGCCCCCACCCCTTCACTTGCCGTTGCCATCTTTTTCCCCTCGCCCTCCACTTCCCTGCTCTCTTCCACCACACCCAGAGCAATCAACTCTTCCGCCACAAACAAGTCCTGCACTGCTGCGCTCCCGCCATCACCCTCCACTGCCGCCCGCACTCCCTCGCTCTCCACTTCCCTGCTCCCTTTCTGCACCTCCAGAGCAACCAAATCTTCCGCCACAAACAAGTCCTGCATTGCCGCCCCCACTCCCTCACTCTTCACCGACCCCTGCTCTCCCTCACTCTCCTCCACTTCCCCACTCCCTTCCTCCTCGCCCACAGCCACCAGATCCTCTGCCACAAACATGTCCTGCACTGCAGCTGCCGCCCTCCCTTTATCACTCTCCACTGCCGCCCTCCCTTTATCACTCTCCACTGCCGCCCTCGTTACTTTACCCTCCACTGCTGTCCGCACTCCCTCACTCTCCACCACCCCGCTCCCCTCCTCCACGCCCACTGCCGCCAGCTCCTCTGCTGCAAACATGTCCTGCACTGCCTCCACACCCTCCCTACCCCCGTTCCTCCCCCCATGTTTCTCCCCCTCACCTGCTGCATCCACAGCTGCAACCAGGCCACGAGCACTCTCACCATCGCCGTCATCGTCGTCCCAGGGAGCCCGTAGGGCGGGTCTGCTGTGCGACGCAGCAGCAAAGACTGGACTCAGCACTTCCAGCACTGCTGCACTCTCTGGTACTTCGGCCCTGCAGGTGGCATGGCTGCCAGCTGGAGTGGCATGGCTACCAGCTGGAGTGGCATGGCTGCCAGCTGGAGTGGCATGGCTACCAGCTGGAGTGGCATGGCTGCCAGCTGGAGCGGCATGGCTGCCAGCTGGAGCGGCATGGCTGCCAGCTGGAGTGGCACGGCTGCCAGCTGGAGTGGCACGGCTGCCAGCTGGAGTGGCATGGGCGTCAAACTGAATGGAGCTGCCATGTTCACACTCACCTTCTTCCTCGCTGCTCTCCTCCCTGTGCGCTTCACCTGCCTGTTCCAGTTCTTGCCCTTCCTCAACACCTAATGCAGCAGCAGAGGCAGCCCAGGAAGTATCAGAAGCAGCATCAGCATCAGCACCAGCAACATCAGCATCAGCACCAGCAGCAACATCAGCATCAGCATCAGCAGCGGCAGCAGCAGCAGCAGCATCAGCATGAGCATCAGCCGCGGCAGCGGCCGCAGCAGCAGTAACAACAGCGGCAGCGGCGGCAGCAACAGCATCAGCAGCAGCAGCAGCATCAACAGCAGCAGCAGCAACAGCATCAACCAGCCTCCTTACATGTTCTCCATAACTATCAGTCTCTCTCTCATTCTCGCTCACATTCTCACTGTCATTCTCACTCCCAGTCTCACTCCCACCGCTCGTCTCACCCCATCCGCTGTTGTTCCTCTCACCTTCCTTCTCCTGGTCGATCATCTCCCCTGCATCCCCTTGTTCGTCTCCACCTCCCTCACTCCCACTCTCCTCTTTCTCACTCTCATTCCCAATCTCTTCTCTCTCACTCTCATTCCCACTCTCCTCTCTCTCACTCTGACTCTCGCTTTCTTCACTCACACTTCCACTCTCACTCTCACTCTCACTCTCCATACTCTCACTCTCACTCTCCTCACTCTCACTTCCATCTCTCTCGCTCAACTTGCTCCCACTCTCCTTGTTCTTAGTCTCCCCACCCTTAGTCTCCTCACTCTCACCCCCCTCACCCTCTCCCTGCCCCACACCACCCACAGCAGCAGCCACTTCATCAACATCCAAGCACCGCTCTGTACCGCACTTTACCGGCCCCTCCACCCCATCCTCACCCTCGCTGTCACTCTCACTCTCACTCGCCTCTCTCTGTCCCTGCCCCACACCACCCACAGCAGCACCCATCGATCCAGGGGGAGCTGAGCTCTCAGTACCATCCAACGGCCTCTCTTGTCCATGCTCCACCGCCCCTTCACTCCCACCCTCACTCCCACTCTCGCTCCCACTCTCACTCCCACTCTCGCTCCCGCTCTCACCCTCACTCTCACTCTTCCTCTCAGTTTCTTCACTCTCACTCTCAATATCAATCTCACTCCCCTCACTCTGTTCCTGCTCCACACTATCCACAACACCCACAGGTGCAACTGCTTCTGTCACCGCAACACCATCCAAGAGCCCCTCCCCCTCCCCTTCGTTTCCATGCTCCACCCTCGCTTCCCCTCCCTCTGCACTCTCAATATCACTCTCACTCCCCTCACTCTGTTCCTGCTCCACACCACCAACACCAACAGCAGCAGCCACCAGTGTAGCTGGCGCTGTCGCTTCAACACCCTTCAAGGATTCCTCCTTCTCATACTCTACCTGCCCTTTCTTTCCCTCCTCTCCCTCACTCTCACTCCCAACCTCACTCCCCTCAGACTCACTTTCCTCTCTCTCGCTCAACTTACTCCCACTTTCATTTTTCTCAATCTCCCCACCCCTAGTCTCCTCACTCTCACTCTCACTCTCACTCTCACTCCCCCCACTCTGTTCCTGCTCCACACCACCCACAGCACCCATCGGTGCAGCCGCTGTTGTGGCGTTAACACCATCCAAGAGCCCCTCCTTTCCATGCTCCACCCTCCCTTCCCCTCCCTCCACACTCTCATTCTCACTCTCGCTCCCACTCCCCTCACTCTCACTCTTGCTCCTCTCACTCTGTTCCTGCTCCCCACTCCCCAGTGTAGCTGGTGTGGTCGCGTCAACACCCTTCAAGGATTCCTCCTTCTCATACGCTACCTGCCCTTCCGTTTCCTCCTCTCCCTCCTTCACACTCTCACTCTCACTCTCATTCTCACTCTCCTCACTCTCACTTCCCTCACTTCCCTCACTTTCGCTCAACTTACACTCACTCTCCTTATTCTCAATCTCCCCACCCTGAGTTTCCTCACTCCCAATCTTCCTCTCAATCCCTTCACTCTCACCTTCACTCTCACTCTCACTCTCACTCTCACTCTCGCTCTCGCTCCTCAAACTCTGTTCCAGCTCCACCCCACCCACAGCAGCACCCACCAAGGCAGCTGCTTCTGTGACTTCGACACCATTCAAGAGCCCCTCCCCCTCCTTTCCACGCTCCACCCTCCCTTCCCTTCCGTCCTCACTCTCACTCTCACTCTCGCTTTCAGTCCCCATCTCACTCTCAGTCTCGCTCTCCCTCTCACACTCCTTACTCTCACTCTCACTTTCACTCTCCTCACTCTCACTTCCCTCACTCTCGCTCAATACACTCCCACTCTCCTTATTCTCGATCTCCCGGCCCTTAGTCTCCTCAGTTCCACTCTCTCTCTCCCTCTCACCTTCCATCTCACTCCCCTCACTCTGTTCCTGCTCCACCCCATCCACAGCACCCACAGGTGCACCTGCTTCTGTGACTTCAGTACCATCCAAGGGGGCCCTCCCTTCCTTTCTATGCTCCACCTTCCCATCCCCCCCTTCCACACTCTCACTATCACCCTCACTCTCACTATCACCCTCACTCTCACTATCACCTTCACTCTCACTATCACCCTCACTCTCGCTCCCACCCTCGCTTCCCTCAATCTGTTCCTGCTCCACACCACCCACCGCAGCAGCCACCATTGCAGCTGGCGTGGTCACTTCAACACCGTTTAAGGGCCCCTCCTCATACTCCACCTGCCCTTCCTGTCCCTCCTCACTCTCACTCTCGCTGTCGCTCTCGCCCCCCTCACTCTGTTCCTGATCCCCACTCACCGGTGCAGCTGGTGTGGTCGCACCAACACCCTTCAAGGACCCCTCTTTCTCATGCTCTACCTGCCCTTCCTGCCCCTCCTCTCCCTCACTCTCACTCTCACTCTCCTCACTCTCACTTCCCTCACTCTCGCTCAACTTACTCCTACTCTCCTTATTCTCAATCCCCCCAATCTTAGTCTGCTCACTCTCACTTTCGCTCTCACTCCCGCACTCACTCTCACTCTCACTCTCACTCTCACTCCCCTCACTCTGTTCCTGCTCCACACCACCCACAGCATCCATAGGTGCAGCTGCTGTTGTGGCTTCCACACCATCCGAAGTCTTTTTCCCCTGCTTTCCATGCTCCACCTTCCCTTCACCTCCCTCCGCACTCTCATTCTCACTCTCATTCCCAGTCCCCTCACTTTCACTTCCACTCTCACTCTCACTCCCCTCACTCTGTTCCTGCTGCACACCGCCCTCAGCAGCAGCCATCAGTGGTGCCGCTTCAACACCCTTCAAGGGCGCATCCCTCTCACACTCTACTTGCCCTTCCATTCCCTCATCCCTCTCACTCTCACCCTCCCTCTCACTCGCACTCTCTCCCTCAGTCCCCTCATTCTCACTCTCTCCCTCACTCCCCTCGGTCTCACTCTCAATCTCCCTCTCCTTTTCCTCACTCTCACTCTCATTCTCACTCTCACTCTCACTGCTCTCACTCTCGCTGCTCTCACTCTCACTGCATTCACTCTCACTCTGTATCTGCCCAGCAGCACCACCCACAGCAACCCTCACTCCAGTCGCTGTTGCCTTGTTCACCCCACCCACGGATTCCACCCACTGCTCCTCCCTCTCCTCCCTCTCCTCCCTCTCCTCACTCTCCCTCCCTCCCTCCTCGAAGTTCTCCCCTGTCTCCTCATTCTCCCGCTGTCCCTCCTCAAGTCCACCCCCACTCTCCCCACTCTCTCCTCTCCTTTCCTCACACCTGTCCCTGTCACTGCCTCTCCCTGCCCTGCTGCTCCCATTGTCGTTTGCCCTAGATATCCCCTTTTCCTCGCCACCACCACCATCAGCACCATTACTAGCACCAACCAGAGCACCCAAAACACCATGAGATGACGTCATTATAGCTTCCATCTTCTCCCCTCCTTCCTCCCCACTCTCCTTGTCGTCCTGCTCCTCTTTCACCCCCTCACCCTCTGCTTCTGTCTCCTCCTCTTGCTCCTTCCGTTCATCCTCCTCCCTTTCCTCCTCTTCCTCTCTTTCCTCCCCCACAGCCAGCTCTCCCCCCCCCTTCTTGCCATCAAGCGCTGCTGCCCAGTCCCCATCCTTTGCTCCCTCATTCTCTCCGCAACCCTTACGCCCCCCGCCTTGCTCCCTTCGCACACTGTCATCAGAGTCCTCACTCGGAAACTCGGTCTCACTCTCACCCTCACCCTTGCTCTTAATCTTACTCTCACTTTCACTCTTAGTTTCACTCTCACTCTCACTCTCCGTTTCACTCTCACTCGTATTTTCGCTCTCACTCTCACGCACCTGCTTACTCTTACTCTTAATCTTACTCTCACTCTCGCTCTCACTCATACTCTTACTCTTGCTCTTAATCTTGCTCTCACTCTCACTCTTACTCTTACTCTCACCCTCACTCTCACTCTCACTCTCACTCACACTCGTATTCTTACTCGTACTCTTCATCTTACTTTCACTCTCACTCTCACTCTCACTCCTACTCTTACTCTTACTCTTACTCTTACTCTTACTCTCCCTCTCACTCTTACTCTTACTCTTACTCTTACTCTTACTCGTACTCTCACTCTCACTCTTACTCTCACTCTTACTCTTACTCTCACTCTCACTCTCACTACTTTCCACCTCACTTTCAGCATCCGCCATACTATTCTCATCAACCTCACTGTCCTCGCTACTAGCTTCCTCACTACCAGTGTCCTCGTTATTGGATTCCTCACGCGCACTGCCATCGCTACGAGCCTCCTCGTTCCCACTATCCTCGTTATTAGCTTGCTCACAGCTGCCACTTTCATTGCTACCGGCCTTCTCATGTTCAACTCGCTCTGTTTCGCAACTTGTCCATCTATCCTCGCTATCAGAGTCCTCCATATTTGGCTTATAATCACCGTCCATCCCCATATCATCCTGAATCCCCCCACCATCCTGCACCACCCCCCCCACACCACCATCCTGTGCCCCACCACCACTCACTGTCCCCCCTTCGCCCCACCGCTCTGCCTGGAACGCAAAGTCACTCTCATCGTCACTCGCCCCCTCCCCTTCACCCCTGCTCGCCCCACTCCCCCTCCGCGCATCATCACTGGACCCCCCTCCTCGCAAAGTCCGCTCCTCATCTTCCTCCCCTTCCTTATCCCCCCCGCCCTCCCATTCCCTTTCTCCTGCTTCCTCATCTCCCGCCTCCCCTGCTTCCTCCTCGTTCCCCTCCCCTGCGCCCTTCTGACCCCCCAAGCCCTGCTTCGTCCCATCCCCTTCCCCCGTCCCCTTCCCTCCCTTCCCCTTACCGCTGTCCCCCCACATCCCGCCTCCCCTCCACGCGAACGGGGACAGCAATCTCAGTCCACCCGCTCTACCTGCGCCGTCCTCCCCCTTGCCCGCCTCCCCCTTCCCCTCTTCCACCACACCCGCCTCCCCCCCCCCTGCGCCCAGCAGCAGGCCCGCCCACCCGCCCAGCCAGCTGGGGGACGCAGGGGCCGACTTGGGCGTTCCGGAAGCGGCTGCTGCCGCTGCTGCTGTCCCGCCACGTGCATGCTCTTTCGCTTGACCTTGCGCCCGCGCCTCTTGCGCCCCCGCGAGCACATCACTCCGCGCAGCCTCGCCCCTGGCACCAACTGCGCCCACCTCGCGCCCTTCCTCCCCCACCCTAGCCTCACTACCTAGACCCGCCCCACTCCGCCGGCTCTCTTCCCCCGCGCCACCGCTATCACGCAGCTCTGCGCCTGTTCCCCCGTCTCCGCCGACCCTCCCCCCCACTGACCTTTCTGCAGGGCCGACTGCGGCGCCCCCGCCTGGACTCCACTTCCCCAACCGCAAGGGCCTGAGCGCCAATCCCGCCTCCCCGCCCCCACCCTCTACAAGCGCGCCAAGCCCCCCAAGCGCGCTTCTGCGCGGACTGCCCAGGGGACTGGCGGGCCTGGCGGCGGGGGCGGGGGATCCTAAGGGGGAAGTATCGGGGGGTGAGAGAACTCCGGAGCGGTGGGAGAAGCTGCGGTGCCCCTGCCGCACCCGACGCGCGCTTCCGCTTCCGCCTGCGCTGCCCTCCCCGCCGCTGCTGCTCTCCCCGTCGAAGTCGTAGCTCATGTGCAACCTGCGCCGGCTGATTTGCGCGGAGGCGGACGACGGGGAGAACGGCGGAGGCGTGGGGGAGAACGGGGAAAGCGCGGGGGATAAAGGGGAAGGCGAGGGGGAAAGCGACGGGGAGGGGGAGGTGGCAGCCCCGTCGTCTGTCGCGTCTGTTCCGCCCTTGCCACCGCGATCGGCGCTCGTCGTGATGCGCAGCATTGCGACGCGACCTGGCGTTAAGAACGCTTTAAATTCAATGCGGTTGTAGCACGACGCGGCACGCAAACCGGCTCTTTCCGTCCAAACGGCTCCTATCAACCTACCAACTGGCGGCTTTACTACTGGTCGATCGCGTATCCTAGTAATTCTACCTCGTCAGCAATAGCACGAAACACTGCGACATTAACGAGGCCCCAGGCCTTGAATTGACCCGCCGCATAAGGCCAGCTCCGTTCGACCCAGTATCGTGCGCGCGGCGCACATGCGGATGCTGCTGGGCCTTTCTTTCTTATCGCTGTCTGCTTCTCTCTTACCACTTCCTCTCGCTCTCTTTACAACCTCCCAGTATCCCTCTATATCTCTCGTTCGCTCACGCCCTCGCAGCGCGAGCTGAGCTGCTTATATCCTCACCTACACTCGATGCCTCAGCCATAACTACGGCCTGAGCAAATGCCTGCAGCTGTATTTTCCCACTGCTCCATTTTCCTTTTTTTTGCTCAAGAGGGAAGGGCGCCCACCAACAGTGCCTGTTCGTTGTTGGTTCGACGCAAGAATATAAGGAAGCACGTTCGCACACACACGAGAGCCCATGCCGTGGCGAATCGAGACGACCCCACAACAGCCAAGGCGCAGCACACAAGACCTCGCAATTTTCGCAAATCCATTTCCTCCTCACACCCATGCGATTTTTTCCGCTGTAAAAAAACAGCTTGACAAACACAGTCAGAATTCAGGCGGAGGCCTTTTATTCACACCCGGTGTGGAGCTTTTACTGAAGCAGAACAGGCCCATCCCAAATCGCCTCCATCAGTTCCCTCCTGATATTGAGATTGTTGGCATTATATTAATACAGTTTATATAGTTGCAAGCGGATCTGAGTTTAGTAACTTTGTTAAATTATATGTATGAGTGAGAGGAAGTGTTATGAGTTGTAAAGAAGAGGGTGCGCAGGATTCAATAACGCGGAAGTGATAACAAGTACTACGCAAATAATGAAGCCTAGGACTAATATAGCAACTGCTAGTTAGGCCGAGGTCGCAGGACCGCGAATGGTTGGGTGCAAGTTCAGGGTTGGGAAACCCGAAGGCGACGCGATGGTGGTTCGGAGGGCGAGGTCGTCGGACCGAGCCTGAACTCCGAAAGTTAGAGTCTGTACGCGTACAGTGTGACTCAGTAAAGAATTAGGGAAAATCCCGTATAGTACCCCCCCTCCTAAGAAAGGTGTCTATCCGGAACACGCCGGCGAGTCAAATAATCCTGCAGAACCGGGTGTGTCAGAATAGTGAAAGAAGGAATGACTGAACTAGCAAGCAGGTGGGTACAAGTAGGAAACCTAAAAGTGTTGTACCCTATATGTGTTGGGCTGAGAAAGCCCTTAGGATCTTTGCAGGACAGAATTCAAGAGTAGGATGATGTAGTAGCGGAAGCATTTAATAAAGGATTGTGAACCACCTTGCGCTTGTATGTGAGGGCAAAGTAAGTTGATAATAACAAAAGGATACAAGCTTTTATATGATTACAAGGAATATGAAAAGGTTCTATTTTAACTGTTTTGCTGTTGCGGTTCGATACAGTGCCGACTCGGGTAACTGCTCTGTAGCGAGTCAGTTATATGTCCTTGCTGTCGCACTGTACACTTCGTCAGGTCAAAGGTCGCTGACCTTTGACTTTCGCGTAACCTCCAGCAGTTGTTCAACCTCCGAGGGTTGACTCACCGATGTTTCGATACGATCCGCTTCGCTTCTGTCTTGGTGTTTCGACACGACAGAGGCGCTTAAATCAGTTGTTTCCAACACTCCCCTTCGCTTCTGGAGTCTCGCTGCAGGTGACGTGGCTCTGTCCAGTCAGCAGCATGCAATATTCGAACTTCGACTTTCCGAGCTTCTTGGTCAAGTAATCAGCTGCCATCTCGGATGTGGGACAGTAAGACAGCTCAAGTCTTCCCTTCTCGATCTCGTCCTTTACGAAGAGATATCGCAGGGCGATATGTTTCGTCCTGTTCGCGAATCCATTTTTGTTGGCGATGCGAATTGCCGACTGGTTGTCACAAAATAGGGAGAAGCTGGGTAACTGGGCCAGCTTCGCTTCCTCCAGCAGTTCGCGAAGGTACAGTCCTTCCTTGGTGGCTGAGCAGAGTGCGATGTATTCAGCTTCAGCTGAGGAGAGAGCGATTAATTCTTGTTTGCTTGACTGCCACGAAATAGGTCCGATAGGCTCGAGGCGGTAGATGTAGCCTGTGCGCGAGTGCCTGTTGTCAGAATCTCCGGCGTGGTCGGCGTCGACGTAGCCGATTAGCTTGGGCGTTGTAGTTATGTTCTTGTAGTAGATCAGACCGATCGTCGGAGTGCTTACGAGGTAGTGTAGAGCGCGATCGAGTTCCTTCATGTGTTGGTCTTCAGGCCTTTTGAGGTAGGTGGCGAGTTGACTTGCTGAGTATGATAGGTCTGGACGGCAGGTGACGGCCGCGAAGAGAAGGCATCCTAGCTTTCTCTGGTAGTTGCGTATGTCGGCGGGTTTCAGTGGAGCAGATTCTGCCTTGTCATTTCCTGCCGTGTAGCGGTATGGCGTGGAGATGGTAGTTGGCGTGAGTGCGAACCGTTTGGCGATGGTGTCGGCATACTTTGCGACGTTGAGATAGATCGCGTCTTCTCCTTCTTGGATGTTGAGGCCGAGGTATTGCGTGACGGTAGATGAAACCGTGAGCGTAAGATCTCTCTGTAACTCCCCTTCGAACCAGGTAGTGACACTGTCGGTTGACCCGATGTAAAGCAGATTGTCTACGTAGATGATTAGTAAAATGTAGTCATCGCCTTTCGTGAGCCGGTACATTCCTTGGTCGTGCGGTAGCTGCCAGAATCCGATGCGAGTGAGTCGAGCGTGTAAGTACTGCTGCCACAGTCTCGGGGCCTGTTTGATCCCGTACAAGGACTTCAGTAACTGGCAGACTTGGTTAGGTTCTCCATGGGAACCGTGTGGAAGTTCGACGAAGATTTCTGCGTCGACAGGTGCGTAGAGAAAAGCATTGGCAACGTCGATTTGCCGCAGCTTCTTTTTCTCCATAGCGGCGACCGCGAGAAGAATCCGTAGTGAGGTGTGTCGACTAACCGGTGCGAATGTCTCGGTGAAATCGCGTCCGTGCTCTTGGTCGAAGCCACGTACGACCCAGCGTGCCTTGAACTTGTCGATGGTGCCATCTGCTTTCGTCTTCACACGGAAGACCCACTTCTCGGTGAGTATTGTCTTGTTTCGTGCCACGCCGATAGGAACAACTTTCCAGGTGTTGCGCTCCTGTAGTGCTTTCAGTTCCTTGTCCATGGCTTCATGCCATTTTTCCTTATGCTCCCCCCCCAGAGCCTGCTGAACTGTGGCAGGCTCCTTAGGAGTATCCGTGCCGTGGACCGCGGTGACGAGACCAAGTATCTGAAGACCACTCTGTGTGTAGCGGGGGAGTGTTGTGTCCACGGGATAAGCTGCTTCGTCACCTGCTTCTGGGTCAGGTATGAAATTGGGTCCTATGCGTTCTGCTTCGTTGGTGTTGACTTCTGCAGGTGTAACGTAACCAGTGTCGGCGAGGTCGAAATAAGTTTCGGCGTTGACGCTTTCGCGAGGATTTTCGTCATCCATCGGGATGGGCACGGAGCAGTAAGGGAGTGGTCCTGCTTCATCCGAGGCGTTATCCACGTTCTGCTCGTCCCAGTCAGCTTCGTCTGCTGCCGAGGCGAAGTGTCGATCTCCATGGAAGCCACCTGTGGGATCCCGATTTTCTTCCAGGTTGGCAAGGTATGTCGGAAGGGTGAGTCGTTCGTAGAAAATGACGTCACGTGCTGCTACTGTTTCTTTGGAGTGGACGTCGAAAATCTTCCACGCGTTGTAATTTCTTTCGATGCCCAGGTGTAGTCCCCACTGTGCTCGTTGGGAAAATCGGCCGGCTCGTGCAGATGGGGGTCGGTACTGTACCATGCAGCCGAAAACTCTTAACATTTTTGTGCTGCCCTGTTTTCCTGTCCACAGCAGATGCGGTGATGCGTTGTTCGGTAGTGACGACGACGAAAGCAAGTTGTGCAGCATGACAGCGTGGTCCATCGCTTCAGGCCACTGGTGATTGGGCAGTCGCATGTCACGCAGTAACTTGCGCATGGTGTTTTGGAGAGTTCGATTCATCCGTTCCGCCACGCCTTGCTGTTGATGGGCGTACGGAAGCGAGATGAGCCTCTTGATCCCCTTTTCTGCCAAGAACTGCTTGAACCTCTATGAGGTGTATTCTCCTCCTCCGTCTGACTGAAAGCTTTTCAGTTTCTCGCCTGATTCTTGTTCTGCTACTGGAAGCCAAGCGATGAAGGCTTCGAAGGCCATGTCCTTGCTCGGACGATTGAGGTGCCAAACGTAACGTGTAGCTGCATCGATGAACGTGATGGTATAACTGTATGCTCCTTTTCCGGGTTCGCGATTGTACAGGATGTCGCTGTACACCTTTTCAAGTGGTGCGTAAGCTGGTGCGCTGGGGTTGTGGTGAGAAGTGAAAGGTCGATGCGGTAAGTCAGCTTCGGGGCAGGTAAAACACGTTCCTCGCGCTCGTCGAAGTTCACTTCCGTCGGTTAGAAGCAGTGAATCTTTGTCGAGAACGCCTGCTCCTATTGTGTTGTTTAACACTGTATAGCTTGGATGTCCCATTCGTGCGTGCCAGATGTCTTCGCTAGCGCGATGTCCGGGTGAACGACGATACAGGGTGGAGTTGGAGTAAAAGGCGGCGGTGAAGTTGGCGCTTCTGTGTACTTCGCGAGGAGTGGGAGTTAGCTGCTGCGCAGGAGTCGGTGAAGTATTGTCGATGTGTGGCGATGTTGAATAACTTGCGACTGGTGTTGTAAGTGTTGTTGGTATTTCCGATGGTTCTGCTGCTGCCGATGTTGTTTCTGCTGCTGCTCATGTTGTTTCTGCTGCTGCCGAGTGTTGAATCGTTGCTAATGCTCTTGTTCGTTCTGCTTCAGGGATGGTGTGCGAGT